ATACTAACCTAACACAGATACTAACCTAACACAGATACTAACCTAACACAGATACTAACCTAACACAGATACTAACCTAACACAGATACTAACCTAACACAGATACTAACCTAACACAGATACTAACCTAACACAGATACTAACCTAACACAGATACTAACCTAACACAGATACTAACCTAACACAGATACTAACCTAACACAGATACTAACCTAACACAGATACTAACCTAACACAGATACTAACCTAACACAGATACTAACCTAACACAGATACTAACCTAACACAGATACTAACCTAACACAGATACTAACCTAACACAGATACTAACCTAACACAGATACTAACCTAACACAGATACTAACCTAACAAAACAATAAAGGGAGGTAAGTTTCTAAAGAAACTGTGGTGCTGCGTCGGCAGGTTCGCTCTGACGAAGGGCTAACGCTCGAAACGTCAGCTTTTTTACTCTTTACGGTGGCCAATTTACAATTTCAACTTAGCGGATGTAACCAAATTGCCATACTAGCCTAACAGTTGATCCGAAAAGCATCTTAACACAACGCGAGACACAAACACAAATATCGATCCAACAAAAATCATAACATTACGCGACACGCTAACCTAACAGTTAATCTAAAGAGAAACATAGCAGTGTGCGAAATACTAACGTAATACTCGATCCAAAGAGAGTCTCGACAATGGGCGAGATACTAACGCAACAATCGATCAAAAGAGAATCCTAGGGTTGCGTGAAACACTAACTTAACACTTGCGCGAGATACTAACATAACAATCGATCAAAAGAGAATCTTGACAATAGGCGAGATAGCAGCGTAACGATCCATCAAAAGAGAATCCTAACAGCGCGCAAGATTCTATTTGCGTAAGAACACATAAAAAAAAAAAGAAAGCTAACATTGTGAATGTAACTGAAGTAAGAATCCATCAAAAGACAATCCTAACGGTGCAAGAGATGCTAACATAGCAATCGATCCAATCATAGTCCTAACGTTGCGCAAGACACTAACGTAACAATCTATCCAAAGAGAATCTTAACAGTGCGCCAGATACTAACGTGCTAATCTATCAAAACAGAATATATACGGTACGCGAGAGGCTAATGTAAAAATTGATCAAAAGAGAATCCTAGCGTTGCGTGAGATACTAAGCTAATAGTTAATTCTGTGAGAATCTTAACGGAACGCGAGATGCTAACGTAACAATCGATCAAAGGAGAATACTAATGTCGCATTTGATCCAACATTCAATAACGAGAGAATCTAAACAGCGAAAAAAATAATATTAAAAAATAATAAATCAAAAGAGAAACTTTGCAATGCGCCCA